CCCCCCCAGAAAAGTTTCCTAGCAGCTACGCCCCTGGTGAGAAATATTTTCATTTTGAAGACGAATGGAGGAAGCTACTTCATAATTTAGTTTTAAAAAAACCTGGATTGTGAATTAGAGCGGAACTCAAGTTCTTCATTGAATCGCGTCGTGCAAAAATTGCTAATGTCCATTTCTCCAGTCTTGAGTTTTTTTGGGTCAATACTTTTCAGAGTTAAAAGCAACCATAAAATTGGTGCTAATACTTGGATTAGGGTTACAGCCTCATAAGTATTGGCACCACGTTCATGATTGTATCAACTTTCGGAAAGTAAGTATCATCAACAAAAAAAACTATGAGCTGAGAAAATGGACATTAGCAGTTTTTGCACGATGCGATTCAATTAATTTTAGAATGTAAAGTTCGTCCATCATGGAGATAAAATTTATATTGAGGTTAGCTTTTGTGTAGGTATGGAGGTTTCGATATGTACATAAAGATTTTAATCGGATTTTAATCGACCAACCTCTCTATGAAATCATTTGAAATGCTGCACGTCCAACGGCAGATCATAGTACTGAATTTGTGAAATGCTCCCTGGTAAAAATTGGCAATAGAATCTTTGTTCCAAAATACCATAGACCTACAGCTGGCTATAAGATTTCCAATAGCTTCTGTAGCCGGCTGTACAATTTCTTTTAGCCTTTTACAGCCGATGGCGATTAAGCAACAGCCAGACGATTAATTTTATGCTAAACGTTATGAAATACGGATACTAGGACTTAGTTAGTTTTTGGACTACCGCTCTCTTTTTGTGCCGTAGTATCTTGATTTATTTTGCGAGGAAAACTCCGTACTTTTGAAGGACGCCTGTCATTCTTAATATGTTGGAGCGCCTTCAAGATCTTATGATACTGTGCAATACATCTGGTGTGAAATAGTTGCTTCAGACGCCGTGGCACGCTGCGGCGCGGCGCAGCGGGCGGGCAGAGAGCGCGAAACGCGCATTGGCGCCTTCAAACCTAACAGGGATACTTCACGCATTGCGCAATGCGTGAAGTATCCCTGTTAGGTTTGTAGGCGCCAGTGCGTCGCCGCTCCGCTTTGTGTTAGGCTCTAATATTTAGTCTCGCGGAGTCAGCGTTTTTCAACGCATGATTTTGAAATGTTTGCACACTCTGTATGGATTATTCTCATTTTAATTGATGAATAAAAAAATGTTTTAAAGGAAAATATAATGTGTGTTTTGTAAATATTAAGGTAGTTCCATATCAAACTTAATGATTTCCAAAGCACACGAATTTCTACACAATTTCTTATAGTCTTTTATAGCCAATGGCGATAAAGTGTAAAGTCCGGCGATAGGAACTAAAGCCCGACTGTATACTTTTTTATAGCTTCGTATAGCCCGGCTATATGATTTGCTCCGCTTTCTACAGCCAGCTATATGATTTTCAATAGCATTTTCTTTAGGCGGCTTTAAGAACTCCTATGGTATTTTGAAACGCAGCTCCTATCGCCAATTTTTACCGGGGCTCTGCTGGTGAGAAAATTTTGAAGTAAAGTTAATTGAGGGTGGTAGTTGGAAATTAAAAACAAACGTAAAGTTGGAAAAAAATTTAATATTTAATTACAATTGCTGCCTCAATGAGAAACTGCAACGAGTATTTAACATACTTTTTATATCCTTGATTTTCAATGCATTTTCCTTTTATTTAGCCGTAGTAGATGACACATGAAACTTGAATTAATTTCGTTCAATGAGGTGATTTTTTTTTTCTTGATAAAACAAAATCAGCTCAACCTCATATTCAATTTCTTTTGATGCGCTATCTTTTTAAGAATAGTCTCAAAATTTAATGACTGGAACTAAATTTCTGCTGAAATATTTAGAAATTACACCTTAGAGTGTCTGGACTGTGGACTTAGACTGCTGTGGAGCAGAAATTGGAGGTTTGAATTGCCTGAAGCTTAAACTATACCCTTTTTTTTAAATAGGTATAATTTTTAACTATGAATTTCATGCACATTTAAGTAGCAATGAGGTTTATTCGTGACAGGCTTTGGTAATTTTCAAGATTCGGAAGGAAGAGCAATTAAACATTCCATTTGTTCCTCCAGTTCGGATGGAATGAAACCGAATCTACACAGAAAAAAGTTTTATCGCTATGTATTTAGTTTGTTTTACCTGATCTCAATTTTTCAGGCTTATAAAATCTGTTTTTTTTTCTTATCGTCGGTTTCCATAGTTGCAGGAGTCCTCCCATGACGAGGCCGCAACATTACACTTTCACGCTAATAGTAATCAAATTATTCTCAATTTTCAAGAATACCATAAAGACCTAGTTAATTTACGTATATGGCTTTCTCATTACCTACGAATTGCACGAGTATTTATTTCTGTATTCTATGCATGTTTACTTATCTTTCAACTAAAGTGGTCAGCCTTGCGTGAACCTCAAGTCTTCTTTTCCCTACAAAGTTGATATTCTGACCATGAAGCTCTTCTAGACGGTGAAATTACCGAAAAAGAATGAATAAAAACCTTTTTGCGATATTAATTCATAATGCTGATTTTTCAACCTACTCGCGTAAGTATGTTTGCGTATAGACGAAGCTCAAAACTAACAGTTCCTTACTTGCCTTTTGATTGAATACATAATGCTCTGTAAAAATGGCTCGTAAAATAGATTCATTCCAATGAACCCATTTGTAAACGTGATATTTTCAAATGAGCTCGAGGACCTCTGAGGACATTTGCAGCGGCGTGGCGTTAATTGCGATGTATCGATTGTTAAACCATTTAAACCTATGGTAAAGAATCGATTATTAAGGTGTTCGTTGCGAACACCCTGTTTATCGATCCTTTTCCATGAGTTTAAATGGCATAACAATTGATATATCGCAAAGCACGCCACGCCACTGGACATTTGCTGTCCAATCGAGGACTCAGGACACTTACATCGTGATTGAAACGCCAGTTTTAATAACGTAGATATAATTATCAAAAGTGGCGTGGCGTGCTTTGCGATATATCGACCGATCTGCCGTTTAAACCTGTGGAAAAGTATTGATAAATAAGGTGCTAGCAACGAACACCTTAATAATCGATTCTTTCCCACAGCTTCAAATGCGGAAATATCGATAATCGATCATTCACGCCTCGCTACTGATTATCAAATGAGAATCATGTCTCTTCGTAACATACGAAACGTGCCAAAACGTCGCAGAAATTCTCTTACTTTATATTTGAGCAATTTTCACTCGTATTACAGTACTACAAAATAAACCATTTAGATACTCCACAGATATAGTAGAGTCTATGAGCAATAAAATATTATAATCACATGATGACATTAAAAAAACAGTATACTATAAAACTAATGATCGAGAGAGGAGGTGATCCAAAAATATAGGAACTTGAATTAGAGACATCTTTATCTTTGATATAGGTGGAAATTTTATTCTTTTGCCTCACTGCATCGTCCGTATCTGAAACAGAGGAATGATCAATAAATCGTATATCATGTAGAGCGTCATTTTGGCGCTTGTATCTAAAAACTTCATCAACAAAACAAGGAGAGAATGCTGAAAAGGTCGTATTTTATTCACGCTAAATTGTCTTCTTAAAAACAAAACTAATATTAGTTTTCATACCTGAAAATTACCTGAAGATGATAGAGTATTTGGTTAAGATACAAAAAAAATCGATTAAAGTAATACCTGAATCTTTGTTGATGGGGGTTTCCCTAAAAAAAAGTAGAGGCTGGTCCTTCCAAAAAAATGAGGGTTGAAGGAACTTAAATAATTACAGAAAATTCCAGAGATCTCACTTAGGTCTCCTCTTTCATTACTTATTCTGTGCGTGTAATATTCAACACTCTACCCAATTAATGTCAAAATAAGCGCAATTGTCTCCGTCATCTTTCTAGATCTCAACTTTCTCTAGCTTATTGACATCCAACAAAGCCGTGGAGTCACTTGTGTGCTTGGGATATACTGAAAATACCGATGATAAGAAATTGGATTCGGCTTGGTTAAGCAACAAAACTGCAATCCACCAGACATCTGGTCGAATTGGATTGCATTTTGCAAAAGAGGAACCAAGACCATTCCAATGTCCCTAAGATTGTGCAATTTCTTTTACTTTGCAAGTATGAACTGATCATCTATAAAAGTTTTATCTTTTCTCCCAATGAACTTCAAATTCAAGACGAAAGTTACCTTTGTAAATTTAGTTCGCTTCATGATTTCAGTAATTTTATTGCAAAGAATGTACCTTAGTTGCACACTCCTAGCAAAATTAGAATACTCTTGGTTCCTTTTTGCAAAATGCCATCCACCTAACCTCTGGTCGAATTGTGCAAAAGATTTGCACCCAATACAACTTCTCGCACAAATGAACTTGCTTGAGTTTTGAGGTACAATATGGGATGTTGGTTAAAAAGTAAAATTGCAAGCATACTAACCTGCAACGCCTTTTGAGTTAGAGTTGGTCTCCGGAGATCGGGAGAGGGTGTTTACGTCCGAGCTAGGGGCCCGGCCACGAGTTTTCCCACTCGTCGTTGACGGCGTCGGCCGCTTCGGCTCTGTAAAAAAAAATGTAAATTATTATTACCACTAAAGGTAGCACTCTGATTCTTACAGTTAATGATCTATTTGTGTGTGTATGTGTGTCACGAAAAATTACATACCGACGGTGTAAGTCGGCAATCACATAACTCGTTTGCGGTGTCTAAAAATCTCCGCCTCTATGTTATTTTTTTTAAAGGAGAACAAATTGACATCATTTCTTGAAATTTATGCAGAATTTTCTTCACACAGAGAAGAAAAATCAAGGTAGCTTTAAAGAATTACCGTCTAGTAGTTTTCCGTTTAAAAAATTAAGTGTGACAGGAAGTCTGCGACGTCGCAAACCGAGTTATGTGATTGCCGACTTAAACCGTCGATATTTCACGTTTTAGCCTTTAGATGCATAAGCCAGGTCCGGGTCAAATTGGCCCGAAGCTTGCTAAAACCACGTGCTCAAATGTGTTGTGTGGGGTCGGTACATACGAGTATTGTATCTATGTAGGTCTACAAATGCATCCTGAAAAAGGAGTTAGGCTAAAATAAAATAATAAAAAAAATCGAGAATTAGCACGGCTGAAGATAGGAAAGACGTATTTTTAACTTTTCTTCTGGATCTGAGTGGCCTCTTATTAGCAGCATAGAGCATGATTAATTCACGCCGCATACCATGGCGCCTTCAATTTTGCAAACGCAACACGGACATCCATCAAGTACGAATAGTTGTATCTCTGCGCCGTCATCAACGCGCTCTCTTCTCCTTGCTCTGATTCCATTTGGTGCCGGTAGACCACATATCTCACTTTACGACGTTGCAAACTTCCTGTCATACTTTATTTTTTAAATTGAAAACTACTCAACGTCAATTTTTAAAAACTTCCTCCTCTCTAGGCTCGAAGCATATTCTGAAAACAAAACTTCAGGGAATGATATTGGTATGTTCTCCTCGAAAGAAATGAAATAGGAGGGGAGATTTTTAAGCATAGAAAACGAGATACATGGCTCTTTAGTTTTCTCGTCAATAAAGAAAGAAATGAAACCACTCTAAGCATCTGCTATCATGTAGGCATGGACATCTGTAGGCATCTGCTTCCACTGCAACAACTACACTGCACGGCAAGACGTCGAAAGACGATATATTGCGTGGTGTAGATAAGACTCAGCTTCGTGTCCCTGGTAAAAATTGGCAGTAGAATCTGTGTTCCAAAATACCATAGACCTACGGCCGGTTGTAAGATTTCCAATAGCCTCTATAGCCGGCTACACAATTTCTTACAACCTTTTAAAGCCGATGGCGATTAAGCAACAGCCAGACGATAAAGTGTATGCTAAACGTTACTAATTACGGATGCTAGGACTTAGTGAGTTTTTGGACTACTGCTCTCTTTTTGGGCTGCAGTATCTTGATTTATTTTGCGAGGAAAGCTCCGTACTTTTGATGGATACCTGCCATTCCTAATATATTAGAGCGCCCTCAGTTTCGCATGATACTGTGCAACACCTCTGGTGTGGAATAGTTGCTTCAAGCGCCGTGGCACGCTGCGGCACGGCAGGCGGGCAGCCAGCGCGAAACGCGCATTGGCGCCTACAAACATGACAGGGATACTTTACGCGTTGCGCAATGCGTGAAGTATCCCTGTTAGGTTTGTAGGCGCCAGTGCGTCGCCGCTCCGCTTTGTGTTAGGCTCTAATGTTTAATCTGGCGGAGTCAGCGTTATTCAACTCATGATTTTGAAATGTTTGCACATCCTGTATGGATTATTCTCATTTTAATTTATAGAAAAAATATGTATTAAAGGAAAATATAATGTGTGTTTTGTAAATATTAAGGTGGTTCCGTATCAAACTTAATGATTCCCAAAGCACACGAATTTCTACACAATTTCTCATAGCCTTTTATAATCGATGGTGAAAAAGCAACGGCCAGGCGATAAAGTGTAAAGCCCGGCGATAGGAACTAAAGCCCGACTGTATACTTTTTTATAGCTTCGTATAGCCCGGCTATATGATTTGCTCCGCTTTCTACAGCCAGCTATATGATTTTCAATAGCATTTTCTTTAGGCGGCTTTAAGAACTCCTATGGTATTTTGAAACGCAGCTCCTATCGCCAATTTTTACCAGGGGTCCATTTTGTCATTTTCATATCACATAGTCAGCCCGTCACAGTTATCAGCAAAACGTTGCTGTGAAGAGAAAAAGCCGTGGTCGGAATATCCATAAAACATTATGCCTTCATTATCACTATTATCTGCTTCTTAAGTCCAAGGAAACAGAACCTTTAATGCTGGGCATTAATTTAAAAAGAATATTTTATGTTTCAGAGGAGAGTAATAAGTTTTCAATATTACTTACCAGATATGTTTCTATGCGTGGGGTGATCACGATGGATTATTTTCTTTGTAGTCGTTGCTATCGTTGTTGTCGTTGACGCACGTTCATTCTCTGAAAATAATAAATATTAAACAATTTTAACGATTATTTATCTTTTTGACCTATCGATGCATGAATGCATTTTCACCCTGAAGCTTTCCTTTTCAAATCGCATTCAAATTAAGCGTCATTAGCGCAATACTATTCCAACCCAGGCAGATGTTCTAATGTGAACGGATGAAAAAATATTCTTTATTGAAATCAATCAATGCAACGGTTGAGCAGGCCCGTCACATCCCATCTCGGGCCCTGGTACCAGTTTTAAGGTCCGGGCCCCAAGCACGGAGGGAGGGGTCCGAGGGGCATCCCCCAAGAAATTTTAGCATTTCAACGACTAATCGGACGCATTTTGAAGCTTCCATAAAGAATTTTTCCATCAATTTCTGCGGAATAATTATGTTTTTTTTTTTTTTNTTTTTTTTTTTTTTTTTTTTTTTTTTTTTTTTTTTTTTTTTTTATACTTTCAGCACAAAATACTTGCAAATTGTAGCATTCAAAACATCTGAAATTTTTTTATTTTTTTTTGGGGGGGGGCATATGATACTGTTCTCAGTTCTATGAGGGCCAGGCCCCCCTGGACTCCCCCTTTGTTTGTCTATGGCAAGGGAGTTGAGCCATGAGCCACTGAAGTCGAGGATGCCCAGACTGGAGACTCTTGGCATCTGACGACGGAAGAAAATGAAACGCAGTTACTAAAAATATCCCTCTGTACTGAAAATCTTGAAAATAGATAGAAATTTTCCAAGAAGTATATACTTCTTTGAAAATTTAAGAAGAATTCTACAGTACCCCAGCGTGTCTCTGAAAATCTATTCACCTTTTGCGAAATTTTTAGGGTAAATTTTTTACTTTTTCTTACGAAACAAGGGTTGCATGTCAATTCGTAGTGGTTTTTCACGGGTAACACGGGCCCCTTCCGGGGCCCGGGCCTCGGTACCAGGGACACAGTACACCCCTCCCCCCCCCCTTGTGGCGGGCCTGCAGTTGAGCGCATTGTATGGAATCTGATCGCTAAGACTCTTCCCTGTTTTGAAAACCTTAAAATTAGATACTCATCACTGTCATGTAAAAAAATACTAGTGTATAACTTACCGTATAGTTTAATTGTACCATCCGTCTCTCCCAATGAGTTTTTCGAAATGCATTTGTAAGTCCCAAAATCAGACTTACTCACAGCTCGAATAGTTAGTTTCATGTGAATTTTGTATGCGTTGTCTATAAGCACGGGCTCGTATTTTGTACCTGAAACAAATTTCATGTTTTGATGTAGTATATTCACAATCAGAATCAGATTTTATTTAATCTTTTTCTAGTATGACTTAATTGTTGTTAACTATCTCCGCCAATAAAATGTGACCCAGAGCATGAAAAAGATGAAAAGAGTCGAAGAGACATAATCAGTTACCGAATGAAGACGCATGTGTATCGTTAAAAATGTAAGTGTAAAGGTAAAGTCACGTGGGCTCCAGAAATTATCCAAATTATACCCCTAAAGTCATCAAGCTTTGAATAAATGCGATTCTTAAATTAATATGGGAAAAGACTTCGTGATGGTAGGCTCACCGAATTGTTTCTATATGTGCCTGTGCCCGCGTGCGTCTGACAAATATATTGGATAATTATCGCAGCACTAAGTCATGCTTATACAGTTAGTGATAATTTGCATCATCCCCAAAAACTTCCATCTGAAATTGATCGATTTTCATCGTTAGTTCTCTGCATCTTGACTTCAAAACATTTACGGAAGAATTAACGTGACCGATTTCCATGATCTTATGGATATCGGCAAGTAATAATTTCGTAATGAGCCCAATGCCTTCAAATTTTCATATCAAGTATTCCTCCCCGGTGCAACTACCCTCTATGGACATATAGAACCCGTTGGGCGTTGTGGCACGTCTCAGCCAAGGGCAGATAACCAAACGATTCGATTTACGGATGTTGGGATGCTGGGACGAGGTTGGGATATCGATTGTAAAATTACCAAACCACTGATCTCAATTACAGTGTTTCTCCTCTTAAATTTAATTTTTTAATTATTTACTTTATTATACATTTACTAATGTATGACTATCGGTTAATGAGGTATTGCGGTAGTTCTCTGCGGCTGGAGAAGTCGAATTTTGCTTATGATCGCGCTTTTCCTACGAAATCTGCAATTATCTTATAAACGGCGAGTCGGAGGAAAAACATTGTCTGCACTGGAATGGAAGAGCGCATATAAGCGCCTATAAGGCTGCAGGAATACTTCACGCATTGCGCCAAACAGTGCGGTCGCTGATCGGTGCGAAAAGCATATTAGCGCCTACGAGACTGCAGGAATACTTCACGCATTGCGCCAAACACAGTGCGGTCGCTGGTCAGTGCGGAAAGCATTTTGGCGCCTACGAGACTGCAGGAATACTTCACGCATTGCGGCAAACACAGTGCATACGGTCGCTGGTCAGCGTGGAATGTATACGGGCAATTCTACGAAACATGTCCAATTTGACCTCCACATAATGTGGAATGCTGTGCGTTTTGGACGCACAGCAAACACATTTTCAGGTAAGAAATTGGCAGAAGAGGGCGGTACTATACTGGAAAGCACTGTTTTCATTGGCTCTCATGCACCTGCGGCTGTCTTGAAAAAAACTATGTCATTTTTTGTGCACTTGCGGCTTTTACATACGTCTCGTTTTCATTAAATTAGGATGAATTTTGCTGTTTTAGCTGTCTCAGTAATTTCATCTAAAAGAGTTTAGACGAATTTTGAAGAAAACTCGATTTCGAAAATTTTGCACTTACGGCTCTCTTCGCTATCACGGCAGATTTGTGCCTAGTTCACACGAGTCTCAGATCCTTACGAGTACAAGTTCTTACTTGTACGAGTTCTTACGAGTACCTACACTTTCCGACGTGTGTGAGTTCTTACGGTCCGGGTCTTATTCGGATCGGGACAGATTTGGTCAATTTAATGGAAAGGAAACCGATCCAGAGGAAATTAATAAAAAGTTTGTGTTACTCAGTGACCCAATTCCCGTATCAACGCAAAATTTGGTCACTTTTTGTTATACCGTGTAAAAAGATAGCACAATCAGCCAGGATGACATGCGCGCGCTCGGAAAATCCCTATCAGTGGCGTGGCGTGAATTGCGATGTATCGATTGTTTTGCCATTCAAACGTACGGTAGAGAATCGATTATTAAGGTGTTCGCTGCGAACACCCTGTTTATCGATCCTTTTCCATAGGTTTAAATGGCATAACAATCGATACATCGCAAAGCACGCCATGCCACTGATCCCTATTATCCCCGTTCCAATTTCTTCAGCGGGAGCTCGTCTGTTTTTGATTCAAGTCTCGATGCCGAGGGACCCTGGAAGGGTGTTGCCGCTGCCGTATTTCTTAATCGAAGAGCGGGGCAAATGAAACAGGGAGAAGCCCGAAGCCCGCGACGCCGGCGTAATAACCGTAAGTGTTCTTCGACAACATTCGTAAACATGCCGGATTGCCGGACCGCGAGGCGCAATTACACCGGACCGCGATAAAAATCCTTTTAAAGGATTAAGACCAGGGGGCGGAGGGGGGGGCGGAGGGTATCGAGCGGCCGGGCGGATGAATATGCGGCAGCCGACAGCCGCTACACCCGATTTGGCAAATCCTCAAAAAGAAAATTCGCCCGGTGCCGGTGCCGGCTCACGATAAATAACAATAGCGGAACGGTGAGCAGGAGCGCACGATGAGTCCTCGAGTATCGTGGCGGCGCGATCAATTGATGCAGCTCGCTCCTGCACCCGGCCACACCGCCCCCGCCCACGCCCCCCGAGCGCGCGTCTCCCGGAGCTTGATCGAATCATCCCGCCGTGATTTATAAATTCCGCTGGTTTATTGTTGTTCCGCGGTGTATCCGCGGTCGCGGACCTTCCGCGCCGCACAGGCGCACGCTATCGACTCCTTGTCAGCCCTAACCAGGAACGAAAAGCAACTTAATCAGCCAAAATACACGTGATGAAATAACAACTTGATTTGGGGGAAATGCTGCAATAAAAACAACAACGACGGATAAACAAAACCCGGAACGTTTCGATTTATTAACAATCTCATTTTCAACCAGAAAAAAAAAAACAAAAAAACAAAAAAAAAAACGAGCCGTCGATCGATACGCTGTTATCGCGGGACTCAACCAGTTGCGCCTAACCAGGAACGGAGGAAAGAAGAAGGAAAGGGACTTACATTAGGTGACTATTCATGTTAAAATTGACTCATTTTTCCAAAAAAAAATTGGAGAGGCTTCCGGATCCCTCTTCCGCCCCCCCTCCCCCCCCCCATTTTGAGTGTGTGGATCTGCCTATGCTGTTGGTGTGCATGCATGAGCATTTGATATGGTTAGTGGCGATTTTGTAAGTCGGTGACACTACTTTTCCTCCCTCCCAATCCATTACATCTATCGATTTTAAAGTGAGGCAAGCTGCCTCACCAAGAATCGATTGTTTCACATGCATTTAAATGGAGGAAAATCAAAATTGCCAACTTTCAAGAATCGCCACTGGCCTTAACAGGCGCACATACTTGCACACCAACAACATAGGCGGATCCAGACAACCAAGAGGGGGGGGGGGTTTGCGGAAGGGGGATCCGGGAGCCTCCTCCAGAAATTTTTTTTTTAAATGAGTCAATGGGGTAGTTGCATGCAGCTGAGATTTTAGATTTGATGACTGTTCCTGGCAGAACTTTTCGCGAAAAAGCCGTTTTCCGCATTTGCAAGTTCCGAAATTGAGTCGAAAGCTTCGTAAAAGCTCGATAAAAAGTCGCAAAATCGCAGTAAGAAATAAACGATTTCCATTGGCTGTGAAATCAGTTGGTATACAAAGTCCCGCCCACCACCATCATCCCTATCTCGACCGTGTGTTTACCGAGCCGAAGTATGATCTGTTGTGCCATTAAAAGTGTCTAAATTATCTTTTTCCTCGGAAAATACTGTCGGAAATCATGCCACTGAAATCCGGTGATTATAAGCTCGAATCTGAACAATTGAACATATCTGGTTGGAGTTTTAAATATCTTTTTTCTCAAACTATAAACGTCGAACTTCCAATACTCTGGTTCTTTCTAAACATTTGAAGAGCATTCTTCTTTGGTCTGGCACTGACGACTCAATTTTGAGAGTTGTTTTCATGAGATCGATAGATTTTTATGATACATCTTAGTGCGCAGTGAGACCCTGCACATCTCCCTCTGCTTTATGGGTCTCTAAGAGACCCATAAAGCAGAGAATTCTCAATAAACACCTTTCTGATAATTTGAAGAGGTATAGAAGAACCTACAAATTATGTAGAAAATGCCAGATTTTATGCATATATTTTTCAGCTCCGCGAATCAAGTTTGTGTATTCACTGTTCTACAATTATAATTCATTTCCATATTTTTTTGCAGGGGAAGTAAGAAGGTGACGATCACTGTGCGATCCGCTGTTGATGCAGTGCATTGGTAAGTTTATTACTTGGCTTCTTCGCATTTCTGCCAGAACGCGTCAACCGCAGGGTCTCCACGAATCTGGAGTCTGGGTATGTTGTTCAATGCGGGGGGTGCAATTCCACTCAAACGGTCAAAGTGGTCAAGCAAAAAGGGTTCAATACGAAGGCGACAACATTCAAGTGAGCTGAAGGAATGAATTGACAACATTTTTGAAATAAAAGAGAATCACACGCGGATCCAAAGGGTTCTCGATGTAGGTGGCGCACGCTCCCCTCGCTCTCCCAAAAAAATGGATGTCGAAGAAAAGGAGGAAGAGAAAAAAAAAGAAACGGAGGTAAGAAGAAGGAAATACGCTTATATTTGGTAATCATTCGCAAGTAAATTGACTGACACAAGTAAACTCCCTGGTAAAAATTGGCAGTAGAATCTGTGTTCCAAAATACCATTGACCTACGGCCGGCTGTAAGATTTCCAATAGCTTCTATAGCCGGCTACACAATTTCTTATCGCCTTTTACAGCCGATGGTGACTAAGCAACAGACAGGCGATAAAGTGTATGCCAAGCGTTACTAAATTATGGATGCTAGGACTTACTGAGTTTTTAGACTACTGCTCTCTTTTTGGGCCGTATCTTGATTTATTTTGCGAGGAAGGCTCCGTACTTTTGATGGATGCCTGCCATTCCTAATATATTAGAGCGCCTTCAGTTTCGTATGATACTGTGCAATACCTCTGGTGTGAAATAGTTGCTACAAGCGCCGTGGCACGCTGCGGCGCGACAGGCGGGAAGCCAGCTTGAAACGCGCATTGGCGCCTACAAACCTAACAGGGATACTTCACGCGTTGCGCCATGCGTGAAGTATCCCTGTTAGGTTTGTAGGCGCCAGTGCGTCGCCGCTCCGCTTTGTGTTAAGCTCTAATATTTAATCTGGCGGAGTCAGCGTTATTCAACTCATGATTTTGAAATGTTTGCACATCCTGTATGGATTATTCTCATTTTAATTGATGAAAAAAAAATATGCATTAAAGGAAAATATAATGTGTGTTTTGTAAATATTAAGGTGGTTCCGTATCAGGCTTAATGATTTCCAAAGCACACGAATTTCTACACAATTTCTTATAGCCTTTAATAATCGATGGCGAAAAAGCAACAGCCAGGCGATAAAGTGTAAAGCCCGGCGATTGAAACTATAGCCCGGCTGCATAATTTTTTATCGCTTCGTATAGCCCGGCCGTATGATTTTCTCCGCATTCTACAGCCAGCTATATGATTTTCTGTAGCCTTCTTTAGCCGGCTATAAGAATTCCTATGGTATTTTGAAACGCAGCTCTTATCGTCAATCTTTACCAAAGCTGACTGAAACTGTATTATAGATGCTTTAAAATTCCGAAATTTCTTCAAACATCCCCCCTCCCAATGGATGGGGCTTAGAGAAAAATCCGCCCTTCCTATCCGAGGTGTCTGGACCCGCTTATGAAGAGACGGACTATTTTTTTTCTTTCTTTTTTTTTTGAACGACATGGTTGTTACTAATTTTCCAACAGAGACGGATTCTCTTAAAAATTTATTGTATTTGGTTTCATTTTGATTAACACGGTTCACAGGAGTTTTATCAATGAACGCAGCAAATTGAGATCTACGATTGAGCAAAGATCTACGTTGAGATCATATTGAAATTACACTGTTTCTGGTTGATACTTCCCTTTCATGAGAAAAAAAAATCCCAAAACACTTACCGTGATTTATAATTTCTCCGTGCTCCCTCGTCCAGTAATTGATTGATTTGGGATAGGCCTCCGAAAAGCATTCCAGCGTGACTTGCTGAGACTCCTCCACCCCCACCAGCTGATTCTGGATCCAAATCATCGGCGGAACTAGAAACATTAAATTCAATTAAATTTAATCAAGCGTCAAACATTCATCCACATCCCAAGGCATGTATTAGGCGTATATGGTAAACAAATGGTGATGTTGCATGTGTGAGGAATTTGCGATTTGACTACTGCTCCTTATGTAAAAGTCCGCGAGAAACACGATGGTGCCATTGGTTTTCTCTGAATTAACGCCCAAGCTCAAAAAGAGCTCTCAAGTTGAGGCCAAAATGGAGGGGAAATCCCATGCTATCCTTAGAGTCCACCTTTACATCAAGACAGACTCTCCATGCAAAGATAGGGAGCAAATACATTAGCAGGGTTGCCATGTTTTCAGTTTTGGAGTCCCCAAATAAAGTGGCAGCCCTGTCGATGTATTTGCTCCCTATCTTTGCATGGAGAGTTTGTCTTGATGTAGACGTGGACTCTCAGGATAGCGCGGGATATCTCCTCCATTTTGGCCTCACCTTGAGAGCTTTTTTTTGAGCTTGAAAGTTGATTTCAGAGAAAACCAGTGGCACCATCGTGTTTCTCGCAAACTTTAAAAAAAAAATCAATAGTCAAATCGCAAATTCCTCACACATGCAACATCTCCATTCTCGGCGGTTTTTATATGATTAATATTGATAGCCAATGTAAAAAGATGGTTTTATTAATTACAGAGGGTAAAAGTTCAATTAAGCGGCCTGACCCGGCTACTGATTTAACATAGCTCATGGAGCGAGATTTACGTGTATTTTTCAATTTTATAACTAATCGCGCTCTCATGGTATGTTTGTTGGTAACAAAATATGTCAGTTCTTTCCATTCCGAAGCTGGAGTGTATTTGATTCCCATCTTTACGGAATTACTTTCATCCTAACCAATATAGTACAACAGAGATGCACCGATGAAGTTAATCCTTGAACGATGCATCTCTCCAGGCCTCCTAATCGCCGGAAAATGGAAACCATACGGAATTCTTAAACACAGCGGCTTATGGGAGAATCACGGGCTGCGAGCAGTTTTTGGGATCTGATCTAAATCGAAAATTATTTCCGCGAATTCTGGAAAATTATGTTCACCCACGTCATAACAAATTCTAAAATGTACAAAACTCCTGATTTAATGAAATCAACTTGATACCTTCTGAGCCTTCTGAGCGAATCCCGTAGCTGGGACCTCGCGCGTAAAGTCATCGCCAGTCGCGGCCCACTGATCTCAGGAGCACTAGGCAAAACAGCCTCAAAAAGTGACTTCATCAGTGCATGACCGACTCTATTGCATTCTATGGTCCTTACTCGACCCGGAGTATTTGGGCTGTGTAGTCTTATCCGTGCGTAAGTTTTATCCAGAATACTGAGGGGCTTGGCGGACAAGGCGCATAAGTTCAGGTTTTGAAAAATTGACATTTTAATGATTTCAAGAAAAACTGATTTTAATACATATTCGTTGAAAAATTCGCTCTCGAATTCCAATTTTTAAGCATCTGAAAGACGGTTTGAACTTTCCTCCCGCCATAAGGATCCGTGCAAGTTTGAAACTTCAAACGCGCATTTCTCGAAGTAGCAAGAACTGCACTTACGCGCCTTGTCATCTAAGCTCCTCAATTGACCAACGACAGATCCGACAGACGAGCATTCTGAGGAGAACGAGTTTAATATTAAAGAGAAAGTTCCCGGAAGCTCCATTTACTTGAAATTAAAACATCGCGGCGTGAATATCAAGTGATTCGTTTGTGAGTGGCTCTCGGCGGTCGGAAAGAGAAATTAGTCTGAACACGGTTCGGTGTGACTGCGGGCTCGAGGTGTTTGCTCCGTGCATCCTTCTACGTGATATTGCGGCACTTGAGGAGATTTCTGGTCGGCGGACTCATTCCGTTTTAAATGGGTCTTAAGTTGCCGCCCCCGCTCCTACCGCCCCCGCTCACTTTGCATCTTCAGAGCCTCCGACAAATAGACGGAAACTATCCCTGGAGAGACAATATTACAGGCCGGGGTGTCGGCAAGAGCACGACCGGGCCATCATTCGATATTTACCCTGTAAAAAAAGACCGCAGCCGGAGGGGGAATTGTCATGGCTGGAGGGATTCGGTGGCGTTTCCGCAAGAACATAATTTGCTTTCCTAATCACCCTGCGAGGGCCCCCTTTCAATTTATGCTTGCTCGGAACGAGCCAGCTCCCTGGAAGAAAGGACCGATGCCCGCCAGCGGCAGGAGACACTTTTTCAGGCTAATTATTCAGCGTCATGAATATTGAAACCCGCGGAAAAGTGCAGTGTTAAATTTAATATACCCGACGGTTCAGCGCCTCTTAGGCGGGGCTCGAAGACGGCGGCAGCTATTGTCTCTGCCGCCGTGGTCTGTTTGATCCGCGAAAAGTGGATCGGATCAGCCCGCTGGCTGGTAGGAGGAAAAAATTATGCCGGCGCTAAAGACCGCCGAGCGAAATCATCTTTTTCGTTGAATTTTTCAGCGGGACGGAGTAATTTTTTTTAAGCCTCTGGGTGTGACGGTGCATCTCTGAGGGATCTTAACGGAGGCTGAAGTAAATGGAGCACGTAATCTACCTTCAGGAACCAAGTGCTAATTTTGCAAAAATCCGTGATGGCCCCTCTCCCCCCCCCCTCTAAACACACATTTTTCCCCAGAACATGGTGCGTTTTGCATTTATTGAAAACTTTAATTTAGGTCGACTGGTCGATGATCCAATATGCGAATAGAAAATGATCCAATTTTGCCTCTCGCTCATAACCAGCTGCGAAATTTACAAGTGTAAGGGTACGTCTCAAACTAAGTACATAGGTCTCCTGTCGTTGGCACTTCATAATTCTGTGTCTTTACAGTGATTCAGTGCGGTCAAATCCATTCATTATATTGACGGTGAAACTTACAAACCACGTATCTCGATTTGCAACGTTCCAATCTTCCTCTCATACTTAATTTTTTGAAGAAAAACTACTTAACATTCATTTTTTTAAATTTCCGTGATGTTTCAACTTGGTGCGAAGAAAATTCAGTGAAAACTTCAGAAATGATGTTGATTCGCTCTTTGAAAAAAACGAGAATAATGAGAGCGGAAATTTTTAAACACCACAACACGTGGTTTAGGACTTTTATTGTCGATATATGATATCAAATGAGCAAATTGAGTATGGATAATAATATGTTATCTTATTTTATTTCATTATGGTATCATATGGAAACATAATCGTAACAGATCTTGGTAAAATATTTCCACTGATGATCCTTTGTACTAGAAGAAGTTCATCTGACACTGAATTAGGTCACAAATTGACAGGTTGATAGCGACTGATTAAGTCAGAGGTATATATCGACGGTGAAAGTCGGCAATCACATAACTCGTTTGCGGCGTCTGAAAATCTCCGCCTCTACGTCATTTTCTCAAAGGAGAACAAATTGATATTATTTCTTGAAGTTTTTGCAGAATTTTCTTCGCATTGAGAAGAAAAATCATGACAGTTTTAAAGAATTGCCGTTGAGTAGTTTTCCATTTAAAAAATAAAGTATGACAGGAAGTCTGCGACGTCGCAAACCGAGTTATGTGATTGCCGACTTTCACCGTCGATTTACCTGATACAAAAAAAATAAGTCATAAATAAAAAAAAAATTAGTCATAATTAATTTTGACAGTCATTATGCCCGAAAAACAATCAATATGCAGGTTTTTTCTTCTTCCGATAAATGCTTTGAAGAAGAATAGGTAACGACTTATCTAAGGTAGTAATTGAAGGTTTCGTAATTTTGTTAAAATTGTAAAATGATTTTGTTTGTTTTAACTGAACTGATAATTTGCTTACAAGTCATTAAAAATTTTAAGAGAACATTATTCATGACGTCATTTGGTGAGATACTATTTGTAATTATTTATTTTCTGAAACATCGTCAGAAGTTTTTTGGGCGACCATTTAGGCGTAACATGAACCGCAAAAATCTTGCCTCAAGTTGGGACAGTTAAAATAACTGCTTAAGTCTACAGTTTTTTTTTATCTCTATCTCAGTCAAAACTCCGGATGAAAATACGCTGCCAGTGGCATGGCGTAAATTGCGATATATCGATTGCTATGCCATTTAAACCTATGGTAGAGAATCTATTATTAAGGTGTTCGCTGCGAGCACCGTGTTTATCGATCCTTCTCCATAGGTTTAAATGACATAACAATCGATATATCGCAAAGCACGCCACGCCACTGTACGCTGCCCTTCAACACGGAAACGTGATTGCAGCTGACATCAGTTACAGTTTGAAAATCGCATCGCTAAAAGGGAGCATTGCAAAAGTTGCGCGTGATAATCTACGAGTCCTGGAAAAGTAATTTACGGCGAAAATCGATTAATCCTCTTTAAGTACAGGCTACTTTGTGTTTCTTTTGTGCCGGGATGCGCGGGGAGGGGGAGGGATTGCGAGGCCCCCAAGGAGAGTAAAGCAGACTTTGAAGAAGGAGGAATTTGGAGAGGAAGGAGGGATCGAGGAAGGGATGTTTCAAGACAATAGAAAATATTCGTGGAGTATACTTACAATGGACAATGAGCATGATCCTTTTACTCACAGACGGAGGAATACCGTTCGATGCGATACAAAGGTACGGGCCCATGTGCAGTCTATTTACTCTGCTAATATTGAATTGCGATCCCTCTACAGTCGAGACTAAAACAAGTGGAAAGAAAAAGGTTTATTATTTCCACCGGTAAATTGAGAACATGAAAAGAAATGTAAACATGTCAATTTTCTTTGTAAAGCAACAGCACCTTTCCAGCGCTTTTTGGTTTCTTGCTTTAATTAATTCACACTAGTCGTGAGTTAAGTTTTTGTGACTTAACGATTTTGAAAAATAATTTTGGTCAACTACCTAAGATCTAAAATTTTAGTGCTGAGAAAAGCTATGAACGCTTGGAGTTAAAGCTCAAAAAATATTCAAACGATAGTACCTACACGCCCAGCACAAAGAACTGATGAACAAAAAACGAGTGCAGCTTGGCAATGTGAATTATACTCGGTATACTGATTCTCATCTGTGGATCAAATTACGAGGAAGAAAAATATCTCTTCAAAATACTTAAGTTTTTCTTTTATTTGGTTTTTTTCCTGATACAAGAAACAAAATAAATTGGTGAAAAAGCAGTTGCAACACGAACATGTTGAAGAGCCCCCATTTCTATGACGATTTATCAGCTAAGCGTAAATTTATTACAAAACTGAAAATAAAATGAATGTATATCTCAATTGCTGAAGTAAATACCGTCGGTAAAGCCAGTATTAGATTTTTTAGGCCGCATCCGCCATCGCTTTTGAATTTTAAAAATTTGACGCGAATATTTTAAGTTCCCGGTTAAAAAATGTACCCTCGCATCGTACCAAATTTCGCACAAATCAATTGAACAGGAACAGATATGACATTATAACAATTATTAACGATAGTTTCTCCGATTAGATTTTCGAATTCTGAACATTAAATTCGAGTGTCCAGTGACTTCCTGAAAAACTTCCTGGAATCCAGATTCACCAAACGAGATCAATCAGGAGCGGAGATGTCAATTCAAGCCACGTATCTATCTCGGAATTTCAAATTAACATTCAAATAAAAATTACAGTTAACTAAAAACAAAATTCAAAACATACTTTCTGTTACCAATTTTCACAAAAATTCATGGAACAGAAGCCGAGATTGCACCACGCTGGGTGTCTCAGTTTCTCGAATTTTGAAAATTTGACTGAAAATTTGAGTTTCTCGTCACAAAATACCCGTCGGTGCATAACGGGCTGGTTCAAAAACTATAAAAGTATAAAAAACAGGTTTCTCTTCAAGTGAGAATCATTTGCTGGCCACATTAACGAGGATCATTCTTCTTTTTTAATCAGGTAAGGCTCACATTTTTGTCACAGCAGTAAGGGTATTAAATAAGTGAGATTACTTAAAATACAGCAGTTATCAGGTTGACAGGCCTTGTTCAGTAAAGCAGTTTACTCGAGTTAGGTTTAAACCCAAGAATACAACTATTTAAACTTTGATGTGTTGCACAGTATCAGACGCAATTGAAGGCGTTTCATATTGGCCCGACCGCGACTCACGGACCGTGAGTCCTGATGTGCTGACTTCGAGTCGATCGACACAGATTCGTGAGTATGCAAATAATAAGTAAAATTTTCGACGTTTTTCTCTCTTGCATCCTAGATTAAAGATCACAGCTGTCTCGTCACAATATGATCAAAACATTGAAATACATCCTGCTTAAAAATAACCAACATTCGTGGCTCTTCAGGCTTCTATTAAGGTCAACATTTTTCCGGCCAAAAATGGTACCTGCTTGCATTTGTCAGTGCTGCCAATCACATTCTGTCATTCACATTCACACACCCATCCGAGTGCGCTCAATATTTCAGCTGAAAATTGCTTCAATTTGATTCATGATTCCTAATTTGGTACACAAATGCGCATATTATTCCTGGGCCCCGGTTGGAGGGGGGGAAAAATAACAATTATAAGGTAGATCTTTTGGATCACTCATAAAGGTGACGAATGTAAAATTCAGAAGACGCTCTGTTTCTGGGATGTTATAACTCTAATATGCGATCACTTCATCACGAGGGCTATAGGCCAGATTTGTTCTGATCAACTTTGTTATCTCCTCGTACGATTCTTTTAAACACTTATCTAATTTACCTACTTATCGATAGTTGTCATAATATACTTTCATTCTCTCCTCAATTTCCTTTATCTCGCCTCTCTTCTTTTCAATCTCCTCCGGAAGTCTCGGATTCTCCGATAATTTAATTATATCTGAAGAAAAATTGAAGACCTATCAGATACTCTTTCTTTGTGTACGCACGATGATGAGGAGATCAAAGTTAGACGGGAACGTTCCATCAAAAGACATGACTCAGAAATCAAAGGAAGAGCCTAAGAACACTGCCGGGGAGTTTTCTACAGTTTTTTCACCATTTTTTTAAGGAATCATTTAGGCTTTTTAAAGCTTTTGGCTCTAAAACGTCACAATAATTTGCAGCTCCACTTCATACATTGATGCTGAAAGTTGCAAGACACGTTTCTCGAGCTGAAGTAGGTACCAAAATCTCTGCTGGAACTTCATTTAAGAAAAAAAGAGGAAACGGTAATGTTAATGTGACGTTAATGTAAGTCGATACACGATAAAGAAAAGTCATGTAAAATTAAAAGGTATACTTTTTGGTGTTAATCCATTGGATACATAAAATTGTATAATAAATCTGTAACGTTGCAAATAGGAATACGTGTTTTGAGACTTTGACCATCGATAAATACAAACTACACACGGAACGAGTGATGTCATTTCAAAATCGAGATGTCTGCGTACCAATCTGATTTTGTAACCATTTACTTTACCTCATCGTGTACTAAGGTGGTATGGAATACCTCCTACACCCCCTTGTGATGGAGGGGCCAGGCCATCCCCAGCAAAAAAACCTAAATACACCTAAGAACTCTCAGGATAGCGTGGGATATCCCCTCCATTTTGGCCTCAACTTGAGAGCTTTTTTTGAGCTTGGGAGTTGATTTCAGAGAAAACCAGTGGCACCATCGGGTTTCTCTCGAACTTTCACATCAGAATCATCAGTCAAATCGCAAATTCCTCACACACGCAACATCTCCATTGAGTTGCGTGGTGATCGAAGCTGTAATTCGATCCTGACTGGGAGCGCAGGAGTGTTTACAAAGCACCGTCGCGCCGGTCGCCAGGACTCCGGGAAGGGTCAAAAAACGGACAGCTCCCCACAATCATATTGTTAGTCAAAGCTCGCGCGCAACAAATCCCCGGGAAAATCTTCCCTTTTTATTCGCTCATATTGCGCCCGGATCGAAATTTAACACCTCCGTCTTCATGGTTAAATCATCCTGTGTTTCGGGTCCCCTACCCCCTCCGACTCCACCATCCGCGAGGCCCCAACTATAAATAATCCATGAAAGAGGTTTAGGCCACGGGTTCCCCCTCCGCCTTCTGGGCGACAAAGTTATTGTATCGTATTACCCGCTCCTTATTATGTCCGTTTGACGGCTCTTATAATGCCCCATTCATTTAACCGAAGCCGCGCCACGACATTCATTCGCATTCAGCTTTTGTGCCCCTTCGATACTTCGCGGCTGTCGAAAACTCACAATGTCGCGGTATTAATCAAAATTTGATCCTGCTTTTTTCTCCGCCGGTCCTCGGCGACCATTGTTTCTTTGCGCCGCTCGAATCGAAACGGGGGCGTGGAAAGTCATTTAACCTACTTCTGTTGAACGCGTGAGGGTTTACACTCACTTGCCGGCTGAATTAAGCACCTTTGACGTTTTAAAGGAAGCTCGATTAATTATTATCAAACCATGCTATTAAATCCACGCTCTTTTTATACTGAGAATTCTGGATTTGTGACCATTGGGGAAATCCGCATGCACGAACTTCCTTAATGGAAATCCAAGAATCGTAATAATTTAAGTTGTAATTAAAAACAATGCAAAAAAGTTTAAATCGTTTAAAATCATTTGAATCCCTCAGGAGCGTTCACCCGGAGGAGCCAATATACTTGCACGTATTTTATCGAACGGAGCTATCACATCTTTGGTTGCTATTGGAATCTGAAAATTGGCAGCAATACTGTTTGTGTTAGAAGGTTGGCTGCCCTTCTGGACCGTAAAAGCTCCATATTCCAACATGTCCACATTTATCGTTGTACTCTAGGTTTGGGGGCATTTCCTATGCACTGAGAAAAAGCTATGGCTCATAAACCAATTACTGGTTCATATGAAACACCACTAATAGCAGAAAAGGCAACATGTAACAGCAAATATACCTTAGTGATGGTGTTTATACCTTATTATGGTACGAGATACCTCAGTATGGTTCACAGACCAAGAATCGCTCGTTTATTTACGACCACAAGTGGTATTCTGTATGAACCACTAATTGGTTTATAAAGCCATAGATTGTTCTCCGTTTGGTGCAGGTTTTCTAGGGGGGCCTGAAAATACCAGTTCAAATTTAAAGGGAGTAAAGGCGCGGCCACCCTAAGAGCATTAAAAGAGTGACGCCCATGAGTATTAGCATTGCATTTATAGATTACGCTATTTTTCATGGACGGATTCACCAGAGCCGATGAAGAGGCTAAAAGAGGAGAGAGAGAAGAACAAATGGGGAGAAAAAAAGGTGATGCCTTAAACGAGTGAATAATTGGAGAGCGGAGCTGAACAGAAGAATCGGGAGCATGGTCCATTTAATTCAGTCCGCACACCAGCCAATATTTCATGGGAGCCCGGGATGATACTTTAAGTAGAGCATTTAGAAACTTTGCGCAAGTTTCAATGCGCTAATAATTCCGCGCCGCGCCGTCGTTCCCGGCGCACTTTATGAAGCCGCGAATAGTGTTTTCAAACATAAAGCTTTTAATTTTGGAAAAGCAAAAAATGAATCAAAACTTGCCCCGAGTTTATGTTGAAAGTCTCGGGCAGACGAAAGAACTCCGGAATGCGCGGAAGTTACAGTGCAGTTAGCGAGGTAATACATTCTCCTTCCCGTTGAATAGACGCCGATGGATTCTCCATGGTATCCTTGCTCTTTGAACCTCGGACGGGGTTTTATTTTTTGGATAATTTTTTTCGAATTTTAAGAATCTTGATATGAATCATGCTGAGA